AGACGCTCGGAGGCGCATTCAACGGGGCGTGGATAGGATGGGTTCGCAGGGCAGGCAGCCTGCAGGGCTTGCCGTGGGTCGACATCCACTCGGACCCCAGGAGGAACACAAGGGAGCGGTGCGAAGAATTCCTGCGGGCGTGGGAAGCCGCGGGCTACGACGCCTATAAGTTGGTGAGACACCACCATATCCGTGTGGAATGGCAAAAGGTCGCCGAGAAATATCGTAGCCTACTGCATCGCAGCGCAAGGGCCAGCGCATCCAAGGGACAAGATAGCAAGGGCAACCCATACCCTTGGTCCGACAGAATGACAGTACCCACCCCCCCTGTCCCACCCGACAGGGCAAGCCACCACGAGCAGACCCATCCCTCCAGCACATACAGCGGGGCTGCGCAGCAGCACCCATGGAGCAGGCCCAGAGACGGCACAGCCGCCCCGCCAGCGTACACCGACAGGGAGACCACCTGGTCGGGAGCATCCAGCTCTGGAGCCCCATGGCGCCCAAGGCCGCGATGGGAAGGGTGGGTCCACCAGGATAGCTCTTGGAGGGGAGCTTCATGAGGGAACAGGGAGAAAAGGACCGCCCCGAAAAGTGACGAGCAATACGCCGACAAGCGACAGCGAGGATGGGAGCTCGCGCGCTGGTAGACCGGCATCCGGCCTGACAGGGGCCCCCCGACTAGGGCGAGGCCGGCCCTACAAAAAGCCGCCAAGGCGTACGGCGTTGGGCTGCTGGGACATCGCGTGACCCCCTTCGCGGAAGACTTGCCGCGCACATGTACCGTGGGACTCCCTCCCCTAGGACGTTCCCACCCCAGACGATGTCCTGCGGCTCAGGCCGCTCACCCCGACCTTTCGCCACGCTCTCCAGTTCCGCGGCTATCGGCTGCACTCCCCTTCCCTCGTCGCCACGTGCTGTCTGTCATTCTGCGGGTATCGGCTGCTGACCCCCTTCCTCGTCGCCAGTGCTTCTACATTCATGTTTGCGGCTATCGGCTGCTTGCCCCCCTTTCTCGTCGCCACAGGGAAGCGATTTCCGATGGAGGATGACTTGCTGTGGGCCCCAGGGCCACTGGGTTCCCACCAGGCGGCCACACCTGTCGGCAGACAGCGACAGGACATGTTTCACCGATGCAGTGGGCCACTGGGGCAGACTGTTGTTACCCCCTGGGGTTGAGGTACCCCCCTACCACTACGATAGTTCCTGCGTTCTCGTGGGCCTTTAGCCTGTTCGGCCGGCTGAAATAATCCCGTCGTCGGTTTGGCCGCTGTAGCGGCCCGTGGTGCTCCGAGAGGGCTCGCTCAAGGCGCTTCGCCCGCTCTCGGCGTGCTACACTCCTTCATGTTGCTCGCGCCGTATGCGGGCCGGGTCACATCGGACGCTGGCCTCAGCCATTCCGGGTGCCCATCCTTTGGAGTCGGCAACGTGCAGTGGCTTCCACTTCGTCGCCCGTAGGGACGGCGACTTCTAACCCCCTTTTTCACATGGGCGTGTTGACAGTCCCCCTTCAGCGGCGTACAAACTGGCCCACGTTCCAAGTGGGTAGTGAGTGGTTTTGGCACGTTCCGCCTGGCAGTCTGACCCCACCTGCGAGTCCAGCCTTTTCCGCCCTCCCCATTTTCGCTGGCACACGCTCAGCGGCTTTGGGGTCCGCGTGGTGGCGCCAGGGCTTCAGCTGGTGTCTTCACAGTTGCCTCTTTTGCTGGCACATGTCCAGCGTAGTTAATTATCTGCTGGTGCCTTCTCGGCTGCCTGTTCTGCTGGCACAGTGCCAGCGTCGCTAATTGTCTGCATTAAGTATTCCACCCTCTTCTGGCTGGCACGCGCTCAGCGGCTTTTGGTGGTCGCGTGGTGGCGCCCAGGCTTCAGCTGGCGCCTTCGCGGTTGCCTCTTCGGCCGGCACTTGTCCTGCGCCGTTAATTATCTGCTTTCCCGTGCGCTGTGCCCCAGCCTCGTTCTCACCGCCCTCTGGACTTTTCCTTGCGGGCCGCGAATCATATATACATATATATATATATACATATCCCCACCAGCCCCCGAGGTGAGGTCGGGCCGCGCTGCCGCCTCGTGTTGTTCTGACAACTCGGGCCTCCGCCTGCCCCGACACCTCCGGGGGCCGGACCTGGGGTGAGTGCGGTTCGGCAAGTGCTACACCCTTTGCGCGACTTTCGACGTTCCCCCTTCTGGTCCACCACGGCCCCCGTCTGACGCACCCCGCTTGGTTCCCCCGTCTTCCGTGATGGATAAGCTGCCTGCGTTGTTCGCCGACGACGCGGTCCACCTCTGGGCGGGAGCCTCCTTTGTGCTCCTGGTGCTGCTCGAGTGGTTCATCCTTTGTCAGTGCTCACGCTCTCCTACGAGGGGACCATGGTGTTTGGCCACGCCTGCTGCTGTTCCCCCGATACTCCGGGTCTAGCAGTCTAGGTTCGGACTCCGCGGCTGCATCGACGTCAGTCCATTGGTCAATGGCTCACGGCGACTCGCGCCCATGAGTTCAAGTGAGTGAGGCTTCCCCAGCCACCCCTCTTTTGCCCGCGCCTTCCCCGCTTTCTTGCCTCCTAGTGGTGAGCGGTGCGGCCCCACGTGCCCACCGTCCTGCCTCTTGGCTGTTTGGCCCTAGCCTGCGCTCTCTGGGCTGCACGGCTTGAGCTGGCGCCACCTTGCGTCTTCTATCCGTCTGCTACAGTCTGGTGCCCGCGTCCCCGTTCACGGGTCGCTCGCATTGTAATGGGGGGCATTTTGCCTCTTGCAGGTGCACTTGTTGCGTCGGCCTAGGCGCCTTCGTAACCAATTATCTCGCCTGTGCCCCAGACGTGCTTGCCCCGCTTCTTGGACTCTTCCTTGGAGCAGCCAATAAAAAAAACGTATCCCCACCAGCCCGCTCTGGAATGTGGAGGATTTTGCTTATTGCACGTGCGTTTGCTTGCATTGCATGTCCTACTGCAGTTGCTTCTGTTGTAGTTATGCGAGCTGGCTCGCCGACGCTGGCGGCCGTGTTCGCAAATTCGCCCCGTTCCGCCGCCCCGGACGTCGCTCCCGCTCCCTGGCGGTCGCCTTGGAGCCGCTAACCAAAAAGTATCCCCACCAGCACGCCCCTGGGGTACCCGCACGTTTGCAGCTTCCTGAAAGCCCCAGCAGCCTGCAGTCCCCACCCTCGGCGCTGCCTCTTAGCCTCGGCGGTTGCAGTGCTGCCCTCGGCGCAGCAGCTTCCCCCGGCGGTAGGTCCTGCTGGTGCCTGCGCGCGCGCCGGCAATTAGCTCCGCTCGTAGCCCGAGCTGGTTCGACTCGCCGATGGCGCCTTCGTCTGCGGCTGCGACAAAGAATCCCCATCAGCCCATCCAGAAAGGATGTCCACGCGAGTCGAGGTGATCAGGGAAGTGCGGGAGCAAAGAGGGGGACGGCCGAACCGTGCGAAGGAGTGAGGAGAAGAAGGAGGCTGGATGGATGGATGAGTCAGTGAGGAGAAGGAGGATTAATCATATGATGATGATGATGATGATGATGCTGATGCTGATGATGATGATGATGATGATGATGATGATGATGGTGATGATGATGATGATGATGATGATGCTGATGATGATGATGATGATGATGATGCTGATGATGATGACGATGATGATGATGAGGAGGAGGAGGAGGAGCAGGAGGAGGAAGAGAAGGAGTAGGAGGAGGAAGGAGGAGCAGGAGGAGGAGGAGGAGGAGGGCAAGCAAAAGGGCCAGAGGTCTCTTGGATGCCTTTCGGAGCCTCTTTGAATATCTCTTGGGCGCTTCCTCCTGGCCTGGGGGGCTGCTGGGATCCTGGCGGTCCTGGGGGCTCCTGGGCGTCCTGGGGGGCTCCTGGGCGGTCCTGGGGGTTTCCTGGCGGTCTTGGCCTTGGGATATCTCTTGGCGGTCCTGGAGGGACCCTGGGCGTCTTGGGTGCCTCGGGAGGGCCTCGTGGGGCCGCTTGGGATCTTCTTGTGGGCCTCCTGGGGGCCTCTTGGGGGCCTTTTGTGGCCATCTTGGGGCTATCTTGGGGCCTCTGGGGGCATCCTGAGCGCTTCTTGGGGCCATCTTGGAGGACATCGATCAACGGAGGGGGATTCCTCAATTACAGTTACCCCCCCAAGAGGCCAAAATGAGCGGTTGTCTTTGGATGGACAGCTACTGGGAACCTGCGCCATGTTCGGAGCACGTGCAGAGTGCGTCACGTGCGCCTGCGCACGTGACAGCACACATCGCGAAACATGTCGGCCCCCGCCATCCCTGTCGAAAACCCATGCCCATCATTGTGTCGGGTGGGCCTGCGCACAGCAGGCCACGCGCCACCACCCCCGCCGTCCTTGTCAAAAACCATTTGACAGTGATCGCGGGATGGCCGCGCATGATCCGGATTTCGTCGCGAGGTGCATGTTGTATTGTGTATTGTCAGGGATGGTAGCCCTGCGCACGCAGGGAATATGCTGGCTCCGCCGCCATCCTTATCAAAAACAATACAACGTGTCCGCGTGTTTCACGAAAATGACTCAAGACTTGTCCCCAAAGTGTACATGGAATTGTTTTTTGACAGGGGTGGTGGGGGGGTCGCATCGGGTTGGCCGCGCATGCTCCAACAGACGAGGCAGAGTGCGGTTTGTATTGTTTGTTGACAGGGATGGTGGGGGGCGGGCCCTCATTCAGTCGGCATGGTTCATGGTTGGACGCCGGCCGGGTGGGGGAGGGGGTGTATATTAATAAGGAACAGTGATGAACCCCTCCCCGATGGGGAAGAAGGGGGCTGGAAGAGGAAACGCTCCAGACCGCCTGACGCCCTGAAGGGCTGGTGGAATCGCCTGTCCCGCCCCCGTATGGAAGGGATAGGCAGCCTTCCCAAGGGTACCCTTGCATCCTTGCCTCCGCGGCCCATCCTCCGTCGCTGTCGTTGGCCGCGCCCCGCCCGAAGAGCTTCGAGATGTGCGTCCGAGGCCCTGGCACCCTCCTCGCGCATCCTTGTGATACGGCCGGCTGCACCCGAGGCATCGGCCCCCGCTGGAGCCCCCGCCGCCGCGGCGGTGCGCCGCGGCGGGGCGCCGCGGGCGGCCGCGGCGGTGCGCCTGCTGTGCGCGGGGGTGCTGGCGGCGACGGGCGGGCCCTGCGAGGCGGCGGGGGGGCCCTGCTGCGCCCCAGCAGGGGAAGACAGACGAGGACTCGAGCAGGGTATCGACGACAGTTTTGGTTTTGACCGCCAGAACTGGATTCGCTCGTCGAGCCCTGCGCAGACTGCTCGCAGATCTACGAGACACCCCTTTCGCGCTGCTCACGGACCCGACGAGACAAAAGCCATGCGGGAGCAACGCGATTCTGTGGTCAGCCCCGCACTCGCAGACCTCCGGGGATAGCCAGGATCAGGATCTTTGTCAGGAGGGGAAAAAACACACAGACACAATTAATCGTCGATTCCCCAGAAAATATCGGAAAATATGGGAAGTGGGGGGGACGACAAAAACCCAGAACATATGGGAAAATATGGGGGATATCTTTATTTGTGTGCATTTATTTGTGTGTCCCAGGGCCCCTTCACTTTGGCTCCGCGCGTCGCGCCGCCAGCTGTGGCCCTCCACGCTCCGGCGCCACACGCGCTGTCCACGTCCGGTCTCTAGGTCCTCGGGCGCTCACGCCCCGAGCTGTTGCCTCGGGGGCGGGCAGACCCCCCAACAGTGACACGTCGATTGGTAAACTGTCCGTTTTCAGTTCTCGAGGAGGCGCCGCGGCCGTCATTTTCCAGGCTCGCCCATGATACTAGAAGCCGGGGTACTCGAAGCAGAAACAACGGCACAACCATGATCTTAGGTCTGGCATGTCTCCCTACTGGCGCATGATGGAAGAGAACCGAGAAGCAGTCAGAAGTCCTCGGGAATGGTTGGAAGAGCACGGAACATCGCCCCCCAGACGATGTTTCACTATTCTTGAATCGTCCTCCTGTAGAGGGACACGCCCGACTTGAAAGCAGAAGCTTCTGGCGGTCTGCGCGGGTGTCTTGAAGGTCGGCGATCCGCCCCCCCCACCTTGGCCCCTTGGCGGCGCTTCCCGGCGCCGCCCCGCCCCTGGGGCGCATGCCGCGCGGCAGGGAGCTGGGGGGAGGAGGAGGAGGAGGAGGAGGAGGAGGAGGAGGAGGAGGAGGAGGAGGAGGAGGAGGAGGAGGAGGAGGAGGAGGAGGATGAGAGGAGGAGGAGGAGGGGAGGAGGAGGAGGAGGAGGAGGAGGAGGAGGAGGAGGAGCGACGAGGAGGAGGAGGAGGAGGAGGAGGAGGAGGAGCGACGAGGAGGAGCGGCTGCAAGCTTTTGAGACGCCGCGCGACAGCGTACAACGTCAATCCCACTGCGGTCCAGCGCAGATCCAAGAGATCTGTGCGGGCGTCCAGCAGTTTAGGGCGATGCCTCCTGTTGTTCTAGCCGGATTTCTGGCCGTGGCCACCAGAAGGAAAATTTCGAGCACCAAGGGAGCATCGAAACTGGAGGGTTTTCACTTGTCGGGCCCTGGGAGGCGATACTCGTTCGACACTTCGCCAGCGTGTCGGGCAGACGCTGTTTTGACACCTGTCTCGGTGCTCGAAAGTATTTTTAGAATGTGGTCCTGAAGTACGACGATGGGAGCATCGTAAGATATGCCTTCTATCCTTGCCCTATAGATCCAGGCTTCCTAGATGGGGTCGGAGCAGATGGGGTCGGAGGATCGGGCCGCATCGCCGATGCATTGGAGATGCGGCTCGATGTGGAGCTCGTTTTTCTCCACGCCGATGGCGCCGATGTCTCGAGGACGATGCGGCGCGATCCTCCGACCTCATCTACTCGGACCCCATCTAGGAGGCCTTTAGTAGAAGAAGGAGCATGTCGCCGTCCATTCTGTTCGCGTTGCAGGCGCTCTGTACTGGAGCGGCGGACATGGCCAACACGGGGCCCCATTGCCGCGTTGGGTCACGGGGCCCACACGGGGTCACGCTAGCCCTGCTGGGCTCCCGAGAGCTCCCCCCGAGGGGTCACACAATATGCCCGCCAACGCGGGTGTGTGACCGCCACAGGTTGGCAACGCTACGAAATGGACGCAGATTGAAGCTACGTGCGTCGGGCGCCCACTGACCGGAGTCTCGGAGGCGCCAGCCAGCGCACGAGTTCGCGACGAGGCGGTGATGGTCACACACCTGGCGACAACCCTGGAAACGACAGCGACTTACTCAGCAACGCGAGCAGGAACCAATTCGCGCAAGCATCGTTCGGGGAATGTGGGTGCACGATGCCGTTCCACATGGTGTTGCCACAGCTCAGGAGAACGGAATGGGACGCGCGGCAAACGTTCTTAAATTTGGGGGCCCACGACCATTCGAGGCCACGCGTGGTGCCCTGATGTACGAGCAAACTGAGGCCTCTGCGGCCCGGGGGGAGTCATAGCCAATTTCAGCAGATGTGCCACATTGTCGAATTCTTGGCGGCGGGTGCACGAAACGAGCTCGACGTTATCGTTTGAGGTGTGTGTGTACGTGCGTCCTGGTGGGAGCTCTGGGTGCGAGTAGTCTTTATACAAGCCGCTTCCCCACTCCCGAGGGAGTGACTCTCGCAACCACGCGCACCGTTGCATAACGTACTGCCGTGTCTTTCCCTATGTTTTTGATTTTTTGTTCACCAGGCGACCAGCAAATCAAATACCAGGGCTTCGCGCATACACCGGGCATTAGATTTGCTGATGATTTGGGTGGTTTTTGATCGCAGCGAGTTCTCGTCGTCTCTTCCACGACGTCCAGCAGCGACCTGACCAACACAGTGTTTGACGGGTAGTGTTGTTGCCACGGGCTTCAGCGAAGGAAGAAATCATAAGCCACTGCGATTATCTGGATGTGATTGTTCGGTAGATGGGTGGAGTTTGTGTGGTGCGACCCGAAAGCGCTGCAGCTTTCCATCCCCCTCCGTGTCCTTGGCTTCCCACTTGCTTCCGCTCCCCTCTACGACCGCGGCTCCGCTGTCCTTCCTTTGGTTGCAAGGGTGGTTGACCCTCGTCCCGGTGATCGTCTCTTCCCGTCTTGGCCTTCTTTTGCCCTCGCCCTGCGCCGTCCCGTGATGTTGGCCCCTGGCTCGCCTCGATTGACGCACCGACATGTCCGCACCAGGCGCTGCGCCACGCGACGCTGACGCAGCCGTTGCGCTCTCCTGATCCACCCTCCCTGGTCCGCTTGAGTGCGATCCTGCGGCACCGCAGCTTGGTCGCCGCCCTCCAGGCTCGTCGTGCGGGGAAGAAGCAACGAGCGACGCCGAAAAACGAGGCCGTCTGCGCCGACCTTGGCGCACCAGCTGCAAGGTCGCGCGAAAGCGCCCTCGGCTCCGCTGCAGCATGCCGCGCCGGCGGCCCGCGTAAGCCGCGGTGCAAGGTCGCCGCGCCATCTGGCGTAAGACCAGCTTCGTATTCGTCGCTCACACGCCACGTGACATGCACATGACCTTGCGGAGGCCCGCGCGGGCCTCCGGGAGTTTGTATTTTTTTGTGCCGTGGCTCGTCCCCCTGCGCATCCACGACGCAGGAAGCAGACCCCGAGGCGGAGGCGACGACCCAGAGAGCGACCCCCTGGAGCCAGCGAGCAGGCGTGGTCCGCCGACACGTCCAGGGACCCCGAGCACCGCGCCGAGGCCCACCACCTCAGCGGCATGGCCGACTCCGAGGCCCACCACCTCAGCGGCATGGGCCGACGGGCCGCCCGCGGACTGCCAACTAAATGCGTCGGCAACCGGTCCCCTGGCGACGGCGCTCACCCGCGGCCCCGGTCTCGCTGCCTTGCCCGAGCGGGCTCCGCGGCCCCGCCTGCGGCGGCAGCGCTCCGCGCGCGCCCCCTTCCATCTCGGACGGCTCGCGTCAAGGGCTCCCCCCCCGACCTGTGGCGGCTCGGGGCGCTCTCGCGGCCGACGCGCGCTGCGCCACGCCCTCTCGTCAGGCCCCGACGGCCTGACGAGATGGAGAGACGTGCCCCGCGCGGCCGGCCACGTCTCGCCATCTCGTCCTTGAGATCCTGGCGTCTGTAGTTTTTCGAGCCGGGCGGTTTCGCGTTGCGTTCGGGCCCAGGGACCCTCACAGATTCGTCTGGCTTGCAAAATGGTGCAGAATGATGGGGTCCGGGGCTCCTGTCGTGATTTTCAACGATGCTGTATTTTTCTCGCTACGTCGGGTGTCAGGGTTGAGCTTGGCCCAGGACAGCCACCTTCTTCCAATGGGCTCAGAGCGCACCGCCCGCGTCCAGATGTCGCCGCTGCCTAGCGCGTTGTGTTTTGCTTCGCCGCCCGCAGGCGGAACGACGCCCGCATCGCACTTGTCCGTTTGGGGGGAGTGTGTGCGTGTGCATCTGGCTTCGCATTCCTGTCTTCTTTCGCTTGCTTTCGCACGCGATCGCTCCAGCCATGGACGGACCCCGTGTCACGCTGCGTCGCCGAGCGCGCAGCTGCCGAGGGAACAGTTTTTCTGGCCTTGGGGCACCTAGGAAGAAGGAGAGGTGCTGCCACTCCCTGTGATCCTCCTCCTCCTCCTCCGCCTCCTCCTCCTCTTCCTCCTCCTCCTCCTCCTCCTCCTCCTCCTCCTCCTCCTCCTCCTCCTCCTCCTCCTCCTCCTCCTCCCCCCGCCGGCGCCGCTCCCCCGGCGCCCGCGCGCGCTCTCGCCCGGGCGGGACCACGTGCGGCATGCGAAGGAGGAGGGCGGCGACGACGAGGCAGGAGGGGGAGAGGGCAGAGGCAGGGGTGGTGGAGATGGTGGCTCGGGTATGCCTCCGGTTTGGGCCGCGTGCCGCGGGCACAGCCCCTCCAGCGCACCCCCCCTCCTCCTCCCCCCCTCCTCCTCCCCCCTCCTCCCTCCTCCTCCTCCTCCTCCTCCTCCTCCTCCTCCTCCTCCTCCTCCTCCTCCTCCTCCTCCTCCTCCTCCTCCTCCTCCTCCTCCTCCTCCTCCTCCCCCTCCTCCCCTCCCCCCCCTCCTCCCCCTCCTCCTCCTGCTCCTCCTCCTCCTCCTCACCCAGGGATGGCAGGGGGATAGCTCTCCGCCGCCAGCTCGGAGGGGAAGTGGAGTGGGCGCGCCCCCTCAGAAGGCCCGTAAGTCCCCCGACCTTATGAGATGTTTTCTAAGCCTTCCCCGAAGACAAAGAGAACCTCTCAGGAGGCGCGAGGGCTTATGAGAAGTCCCGCCGCCTTCCGAGACAGAATGCCTTCTCCTTCCCACTTCCCCCCCTCGCTGGCTGCCGAAGTTCAGAGGACCCCTCCGGACACGCCCTGTCGTGTTCCATCAGTCCTCTTCCCCCCCCCCTCCTCAGCTCCTCCTGCCGCTCCTCGTCGGCTCTGTCTCCCCCCATGTCCCCCTGTTCGCCCCCCTCGCTCCTCCTCTGCTGCTGCTCCTGCTTCTGCGCCTCCTCCTCCTCCTCCTTCTCCTCCTCTCCTTGGGCTACGAGGTATGCCCCCTGTCGGCGTTAGTGAGAAGGCAGGGCTGTAGCACAACCAATCGCAGGGAATTTTGACAGAAGTGCGTAAGACACCTGAGTAGGTGCTTCGACGTTGCACCCCCTGATGCGGATGTCCTTGTCCTGGTCTCCTCCTCCTCCACCTCCTCCTCCTCTCCTTTTCCGGGTCCTCCTCCTTCCTCCTCCTCCGCCTCCTCCTCCTCCCACCTTTCCGCATTCTCCTCCTCGGCTGCCGCCGCTGCTTCTGCGCCTGTTCCTCTCGCCGCCCCCCGCGAGGCCGCCGGAGCGGACTGCGCCGAAGGCCCAGACGCTGCGGAGCCTGGGCTCTGCAGGGGCCAGCCCACATCGTTGCTGCAGCGCGGGCCAGCCGGGGCAACTGGAGCACTTTCTGCTTCGCTTTTTCGGGGGACTTCTCCTGTCCTGTAAATGGCAGTCATTGCTTATACTCCGACGTGGCTTTGACGCGGATTCGGCATGGATTCGGCACGGATTCGGCACGGATTCGACACGGATTCGACGCGGATCGCTGCGCGTCGGGACAGACAAGGTGCCCCGAAGGTGCAACACTACGTTTTCCCACCCCCCCAGCCCGCCTTCTAGCGCACATGCTGTTTTGCAAATGATGTGCACTCTGCAAAGATGGACATCTGGTGTGCTTCCCTTGTCCTGGTAATGATACAGCGTGCGTTGGTGCGCTCTATGCACGGCTGGTGTCCAACATTCTCGAGTAATTATCGACACCGTCACAAAACATGTATATGTACATTTCAACCATGTAAAATCGGTGCTTCAAACTTCCGAATTTGGATACATGGCCCGTGCTGTATTTCTACCGGGTGTCCAGCTGTTGTACATATGTTCGTGTTGTAAGTTAGGGTGCGTGCCAATGCATAGACCAGTTTTAAACCTGATTTGTCAGACTTGTCATGAACATTTGGGCTACGACTTAGCGGAACTCGTTCTCCTGACGTAGCGGATGTCTTTCTCGTGACATCCACCGTTGGGAGTGTAATGTGCGATGTGTTGTCTATCTTAGTTATATCTCCTACCTATACGACCACCCTTCGGGTGATAAGGAGGTTGTGGGGGGGGGAGAGGGGGGGAACCAACATCTTACTCAATCGATCTCACTATCGATCTCACTCAACGGGACACCACGGGACACAACGGGACACTTGTCGATCTCACTATCGATCTCACTATCGATCTCACTCCACGGACACCACGGGCCACCACGGGACACCACGGGACACCGCGGGACACCTCTCGATCTCACCATCTGTCTCATTATCGATCTCACTATCGATTTCATTCAACTGGACACCATAGGACACCACGGGACACCTCGGGACACCACATCGATCTCACTATCGATTTCACGATCGATCTCACTCAACGGGACACCACGGGACACCACGGGACACCTGTCGATCTCACTATCGATCTCACTATCGATCTCACTCCACGGACACCACGGGCCACCACGGGACACCACGGGACACCGCGGGACACCTCTCGATCTCACCATCTGTCTCATTATCGATCTCACTATCGATTTCATTCAACTGGACACCATAGGACACCACGGGACACCTCGGGACACCACATCGATCTCACTATCGATTTCACGATCGATCTCACTCAACGGGACACCACGGGACACCACGGGACACCTGTCGATCTCACTATCGATCTCACTATCGATTTCACTTTTTGGGACACCACTGGACACCACGGGACACCTCGGGGCACCACATCGATCTGACTAACGATGTCACTATCGATCTCACTATCGATCTCACTCAACGGGACACCACGGGACACCGCGGGACACCTCTCGATCTCATTATCTATCTTGATCGATCTCCTTTTTTGACACCACGGGACACCTCGGGGCACCACATCGATCTCAGTATCAATCTCACTATCGATCTCACTACCGATCTCACTCAACGGGACACCACGGGACACCTGTCGATCTCATTATCGATCTCATTATCGATTTCAATTTTTGGGACACCTCGGGACACCACATCGATCTGACTATCGATCTCACTATCGATCTCACTCAACGGGACACCACGGGACACCACGGGACACCGCGGGACACCACGGGACACCGCGGGACACCCTGGGACACCGCGAGCCACCGCCGGACGGACGGACGGACGGGCGGGCGGGGGAGAATCATTTGTCTTGACTTCGCCCTGGCAACGGCGGACACCACGGGACACCACGGGACACCACGGGACACCGCGGGACACCGCGAGCCACCGCCGGACGGACGGAGGGACGGAGGAGAATCATTTGTTTTGACTTCGCCCTAGCAACGGCGGGTTCATGTATCTCGCGCGCCCACGCAGCTTCGCCTCGCCCGCACGCACGACACGAACGAAACGAAACGATTTCCCGGTCGGGGGTCTCCGTTCCTCTGCGATCTCACCCCCCAACCTCCGATGTGAGCACGAGCGATTTATATGTAATTTGCCGCTGGCTTGTATGAACTTTGAAAGTCCACTCGCGCGTGCGTGCAAGCTGGGTAACCATGGCACAACGCGCGCTCATGTCAGCACCTCCCTCCAAATTGCCCTGCGGAAGGCTTCTTGGGGGGTCCCGGTACGGAAGCCCCTAATCCACCAGAAGCGTGTCCTGAGGCAGGTCTTGGGGACACCCCCCGAAGCACAAAAACGACCTTTGGAGGGGTGGTTTTGGGGGGATCCAGGGGGAGAAATCCCCGTAATCCTTTCAAAACCTTCCCCGGAGAGGGGGTGGTGAGGAGCCCAGGAGAGAGCGCAACCTTTTGACACCCCCAAGCGCCCACCCGAGGGTGTTTTTTCGGGGGGGTGGGTCCTCAACCCCCAAAGAACTGGGACGGAACACCCCCTTAACCCCCAAAACCTTCCCCAGAAAGAGAGATTTGTGGAGGGGGGCCCCGGGGGGAAATCCCCCTAACCCTTGGAGGGGGGGGGATTTGGTGTGGGAAACACAATGCGAACCCTTCCGAGAAGCGCCTCGAGGGAGGTTGGTGACACAATGCGTCCCCCACCACACACACACACGCGCACACACACGCACACACACATACACATATACACACATACAAAACAACAACAACAACAACAACAACCAACCACAACCACAACCACAACCACAACCACAACCACAACCACAACCACAACCACAACCACAACCACAACCACAACCACAACCACAACCACAACCACAACCACAACCACAACCACAGCAACAACAAACCACAAGCTGAGGTGTGTGTGTGTATGTGCGTGTGTTTTTCTGTTGGGGGAGTGTTATTTAATCGCTTCGCTCATTCCGCCGGCCCTGGAGCGCTATTTGGGGCCTCTTGGGGCCGTCTTGGGGGCTTCTTGGGGGCTTCTTGGGAGCGTCTTGGGGCTCCTTGGCGGCGTATTGGGCTCCCCTGTGGCCTCTTGGGGGACTCTTGGGGGCCCCTTGGGGCGGGAGGGGGGGTAGTCGTAGGCAGGCCCCCCCTCGGAGGCCACGATCCTCGTGAGGGGTGGCGAAAAATAGCTTCCCCCCTGGGGATCGCCCGGGGGTCAGCCGGGGATCGGCCGGGGTACTTTTCGTCCGGGGCCCCCCAGGGGCCGCCCCGCGCGCGCGAATTAGAAATATTGTTAAGTAGTTACCGGAGATCTTAGCACGCCTCTGGTCCGTTGGGCCGGCGAATTGTTTTTTTTCTGTTCTCGAGGCGGTGTTCCCCCACACCCCACCATCCCCTGGGCCCTGACCCCCCCCAAAAAAGGCCCTGAGGGGGGGCGATTCTTGGTTTTCAAGGGGTCGGCCTGGACCCCCCATTCTTTTCTTTGAAGATGAACCTTGTGTCTGTTTGGATACATCTGACAAGAATGCGCGAGGCGCTGAGGCGAGAGTCGCATTTTGAAAACCACTTGCCCTCCACCCTCGCAACCTTTAGATACTTTCAACACGAGTGTGCGCGGCGCAAGGCGAGAGCCGCATTTTGAATATCACTGGCCCGCACTTGTTATAAATTGCCGGAGCCTTTTTCCATCATCTTACACATTACGAATGAAGTCTCGCACGAAACACATCTCAATTCGGCCTGCGGAAACTTTTTTTTGCTAGAGGGGGGAGCTACTCGTAAGGGAAATATGCACCCATCAGACATTCGAAAAACAAAACATCAACGTCCATGGACCCCATACTTCGTTCAAGAAAACGAAGAATCTGGACTGGACCGTGGGCGTTTCTTGGAGCTTTCTTTCTTCGTCAGAGGTTCGTATAGTCTGGTCTGGAGCACAGTTCAAGGAAACGCTTGGAGTGAAGGCCGCCTTCTTAGCGTGACATGTTCTTGATTCGTGGCGTGCTGGGGCAGGCTGTGGCCCTTCGGCCTGTCGATGCCATGGGGGGAAGCGTAGACGTGTCTGACTTTGTTTGTGTGGCCTTACGATCCGCGCGGCGATTTCGATGAGCAGGATGACAACGAGATGGAGGAGGGGGAGGAGGAGGAGGATGAGCAGGAGCAGGAGGGTCATGATGACCTCATTTTATCTCTCCTCCCTCCCTCTCCTCGTCTGTCCGTTTGTCTCCCATGTACACTTCTGACCTGCACGCTGGTGGCCACTGGGGCGGTGCTCCAGTCCCCACCTGCCATCAGTTTGATCATCTCCCCTCAGGGCCAACCGGCTCTGACAGGGGGGGGAGGCTTCGCCAGACGACTATGCAGCTACCAGGTGTCAGGTGTCAGGAGAAGGAGGAGGTGAGGAGGAGCAGGAGGATCATGATGACCTCCCTTTATCTCTCCTCCCTCCCTCTCCTCGTCTGTCTGTTTGTCTCCCATGTACACTTCTGACCTGCATCGCCAGTGACTCTTGGGGCGGTGCTCCAGGGGCCACCTGGCCTTAGTTGATCATCCCTCCTCATGGCCAACCAGCCCGGACGGGGGGGGAGGCTTCGCCATACGACGATGCAGCCACCAGGTCTCAGGAGGTGTCAAGAGGATGAAGAGGAGGTGGAGGAGGAGGACCAGGAGGAGGAGGAGGAGGAGCAGGAGGAGGAGGATGGAGGAGGAGGAGGAGGAGGAGGAGGAAGAGGAGGAGGAGGAGGAGGAGGAGGAGGAGGAATTGGGTGGGTTGGACGTCCGTGGAGGGGGAATTTGGGCGGGTTTTCGCCCTTCAGGCTGAAGTACGAGCCCCGCACGCCGCCCGCTGCTGCGCAGCGAGGGCCCCTCAGCGCGCTCTCTTCCGCCGGCAGCAGCGGCCGCACCAACGCCAGCGCTGGAGCGAGCAGGCCGATGGCTGCCCACTCGAAAGCTTAGGGGGTGGGCATATCTCGCGTCAAACAGCTAGCCGCGATCGAGCAGCCATCGGAATTGTCGACCACCTACACGTTAGAAGCGCCGCAGGCGTTTGCTTGTGATTTTGGTTGAACTGCCCACCGAACAGCCCAGTGTTGAGCAAAGCTGAAGCACGTCTGTCATACTGCATATCGGAACTTTCAGGTGCTCTCAATCTACGAGGCAGGCGATTAGTGCAGGGGGTGCGCATGCATGCCGCTCTGAGTATCCACCTCTGCCGCCTCTCCTCAGCTCGGAGATTGGAGGAACCGCTGCAAGTCGGTACAGGTGGATCGGACGTCTGTTGAGGCGGGTCTGGGTAGGCCTTCGCTTGTTTCCGTCGGAGTTTCTGCTAATACGTCAGAGTGACCTTTCGCCAGAGGGACTTGTCCTACGCGCTTTTCGGGACCGCGAGGGAAGGGGGGCGAAGGGGTGGGTGGATGGGCGGGAGGAGGAGGAGGAGGAGGAGGAGGAGAAACAGAAGAAGGAGGAGGAGGAGGCGGAGGAGGAGGAGGAGGGGAAGGAGGAGGAGGAGGAGGCGGAGGAGAAGGAGAGGAGGGAGGAGGGAGAGAGGAGGAGGAGGAGGAGGAGAGGAGGAGGGGGAGGAGGGGAGGAGGAGGAGGAGGAGGGAGAGGAGAGGAGGAGAGGAGGGAGGAGAGGGAGGAGGAGGAGGGAGGAAGAGGAGGAGGAGGAGGAGGAGGAGGAGGAGGAGGAGGAGGGAGGAGGAGAGGAGGTAGGAGGATGAGGATGTGTGTGTGTGTGGTGGGTGGGTGGGTGGGTGGGTGGGTGGGTGGGTGGGTGGGTGGAGAGCAAGCCAATGAGCGCAGGCCGCTGCTGTCGGCCTCGCACGCACCGATCGGCAAAAACCGTGTATCCAAGGAGGCCCTTGCTTGTCGCCGAGAGCAGGATGAGGTACAGGCCTCGGAAAAACATAGCGAAGACGCATGCCACATTCATCGGTGAGCGCCTCCACCTGCCCCGAATGTTCAAAGTTGGCGGTGGGTCTGACGAATTGCACTTCGACCGCAGTCTCTCCCGCGCGTGCCAACTTTGAGTTTGGGGGGCGGGGGAGTGCCCACTAATTGTCTCCCCCTACCGTACGTAGGATGAGGTGGAGCGCGGGCTTCGGCCTTCTGCTTCTGGAGGGCCAGACAACTCCCAGGGAAGAGCCGCACACGGATCCGGCACTCCGCGAGAGCCCAAGCGAGGTCGGCAGGGGATCTATTGTTGGAGCGGAGGTGCCTCGCGAGGGAAGGGGGAGCAGGAGAAGATCCGCAAGCTGATGCCCTCCCCCTCGCCCCCCCCTCCCTCCGGCCGTCTGTCAGCCACGCGCAGAAGGGGCGTGGGGGGAGGGGGGAGGGCTTCTTAGAAGCACCCCTGGTTCTTAGAAGGCGCGGGCCTTCTCTATAGATGTAAGGCCGGTGCCTTCTAAGAAGCAGCCTCCTTCTAAGAAGCCTTCCCCCCCCCCCCCCACCCCCTTCTGCGCGCCGCCAAGTCTGTTGGGCCCCCGGCTCGACTCCGCCCCCGAGCCGCCCCAGACTGATGCTCCCCCGCCACAGGGCCAACGCCAGTGCGGGTGGCAGCGGGGCGTGCTCTTCCGACGAGCCGTTGGTGTTCCTGCACATCCCCAAGAACGCCGGCACCACGGTGGAGAACCTTGGCCGCCTGGCGGGCGCGAGGTTCGCCATGAATAGGGGCCACATGCGAACCCTACCCTTACCCCCCACGATTTCTGAGGGGGAGGGTGGGGTGGGGTTCGCATGTGGCCCCCTAGTGAAGCCACAGGGTCTGGAAGGAAGTGAGTCCCGAGGCCGTCGGCCGACTTCGGGCTCCCGGGGCCCTCCGCAGGCCCCGGGGCCGTCGGGCATTTTATCGTCTCCAATCGTATCGGGAGCTCCCGTGGCAGAAGAGCACCCAGAACGAGGTCCTCCGTGACAGAGGGGGGGCATCTTAGGGCCCCTCTGTGACAGAGGGGGGGCCAAAAAACAAATGATCACTTTAATGCGGCTTCTGGATTAATGGGGAAACCGCCCCTCCTGGCTTCCAGGACCCGTTTTCTTCGGGGCCCGTCGCCTTCATGCCCAGAGGTGGGGAAGGTTCATGGACTTCTCCGGCTGCAGCGGCGGGGGCACGCAGTGCCCCGACTGGCACGTGCCCCCGTGGGAGATGGGCTCGCCGAACATGTACGAGGGGCGGGACGTGTTCTGCGTCTCCCGCGACCCGTACGAGCGGGCCATCTCCGAGTACAGCTACGCGGTGGGGAACCCGCACCAGTACGCTGGAGAGTTCGTCTGGGAGGCGCAGATGCAGGCGTGCTCCGCACGGGGGCTGAACCGCTTCCTGAGGCTGGCCCTCATGAGATACGCGCAGGGCCCTGTCTCAAGCACTGGCCGCTACCTGCTGAATTGCCACCTCCTCCCACAGAGCAACTTCGTGTGGAGCCCCGATGGCACCCAGAACTGCCAGCACGTCCTCCGCCTTGCGAACTTCTCCAGCGAGTTCACCGAGCTCATGCAACAGAAGAACTACGGCTCGGTCCTGGACCAGTCCATTTCCACTACCAACGAGGGGGGCTGTGAAGGGCAGCTGGGGGTGGATGACCTGGACGCGGAGGTTCGTCGTCTCTCAAACATGCTGCTACGATGTGTGCGTCGCCCCCCCCCACCCCCCAGGGGCGACTCGCGCGCTCAGACATTTTATCGTTTCTATGCTCCGTGGTGGGCGCTATGTGGTCAGACCGCCGCCGTCATTTTGCGTTCCGACTTGAGCGGGCGAAGAGAGGTACATAGCTCCCCGCAGCCGCGGATAAGAAGGAGGGGGCGGTGGGGACGTCGGCAGTCTGCGAGGCTCTTCGCTTCGAGTCTGCGGCAAGCCCGCCGCAGGCGCTTAATTTTCAAATTATACCACGAGTCCGCCGCAGGTGCCGACTTTTTCGTTCAAGCAATGCGGGTGGTCGTGGGGTGGGTCGCGGGTGGGTCGCGGGTGGGTCGCGGGCCCGGACGCGGGTGGGTCGCGGGGTGGGTCGTGGATGGGTCGCAGGTGGGTCGCGGGCGGGTCACGGGGTGTGTAGCGGGTGGGTCGCGGGCCAGGTCGCGGGTGGGTCGCGGGCGGGTCGCGGGGGGGTCGCGGGCCGGGTCGCGGGCGGGTCGAGTGCGGTCGCGGGCGGGACGACGACAACAAACAACAAAACAAATAACAACAAAAACAGCAACACCAACAACAATAGCAGTCACAATAGCAGCAACAGCGCAACAACAGTAACAACCATAACCACAACATCACTATCATCAACAGCAGTCGCAACATCAGCAGCAACAATAATAGCAGCAACAACACCAACAGTACCCCCACCACCACCACCAACAACAACAGCAACACCAGCAACATCAACAGCAACAACGACAGCAACAGCAACATCAACATCATCAACAACACCAGCAGCAACAACATGCACATCATCATCAGCAACAGCAGCTGCAACAGCAGCAGCAACAGCATCAACAATAACAGCAACACCAACAACACTACCACCACCACCAACAACAAGAACAACAACCATCCGCACCGCAGAACTTCACTTCAGCCACGCGCCCAGGGACAGTGAATGACCGTTCGGTCCCCTCACCCTGATAACGTAATAAGCTGTTCCGCGATCGCGGGCGCCTGTCCCGGGGCGGCTGGGAAGTCTACACTTCTACGGTGGTAGTTGCGGGAATGAGCTCTCCAGCCGCCCTGGGACAGGCTCCCCTCCGATCGCAGAACTGTTTTCTAGTATACCACTCTTCGCCCCCTGACAGGTGGTCTCGTTGATCAACTCGGTGTACGCCGAGGACTTCGCCAGGCTCACTCTGCAGCAAATCGTGGGTGCCTTGCATGCCCTCAGCACTCCGCCCTTGGAGCGCCTCAGCGTGCGCCAGTGCCCGGCAATCGATGAGAACGCCCCGATTCGGCGCCGATGAGCGTCGACTAGCGTCGGTAAGCGCCGACTCGCAGGAGCCCGCCCCGCCGGCCCTGGCCTCCCGCCCGCACGTTCGCCGTCGTCTGCCTGCCTCTCCTCGCCGTGCGCGTGCCACTGCTCGCAGAGTGCCTACTCGCAAACGCTCGAAGGCCACATGTCTGCGTCGATGTAATTTGTCGTAGACCGCCCGCGGCGGATCTTAGTCCAGTTGCGAGTGGCTGCTCTGCGCGCAGTGGGACGCGCTCGTCTAGCTCCCCTCCTCTCCCCCCGCCGGGCAGCCGGGCCTGCCCGAGAGCAGCGTGGCGGCGCGTAGAGAGCAACCACGGGTTGGCCTTGCCGCTGAGATTCCGTGCCGAGGCTCCGGTGAGTTCGGCGGCGCCCCAACATACCAATACTGTGTGTGTGTTTGTGTGTGTGTGTGCGTGTGTGTGTGTGTGTGTGTGTGTGTGTGTGTGTGTGTGTGTGTGTGTGTGTGTGTGTGTCGCCCCCCCCCCCCCCCCCAGGGGCGACGCGTGCACCGAGAAATCTTACAGCACATGCGTCGTGGCGGGCGCTTTCTGGCCGCACCGCTCGGGAAGCGATACAGACTACAAGATATTTCTACTAGATGTTCGGGTCGGACGCACGCCTCCGAGGAACAGTCAACCCGCATAGCAAGGGTGGGAAACCTCTCCAGGGGTATCCTTGCATCCTTGCCTCCTCGGTCCATCCTTGGCCACTTTCGTTGGCCGCGCCCCGCTCGAAACGCTTCGACATAGGCGTCCAGGGCCCTTGCATCCTTATCGCGCATCCTTACGACACGGGCCGACTGCAGTCCCAGTCTCAGACATGCGCGACGTCCCTGGAAGTCCCGACCCTTTACCCGGGGACCGGGTTTTCGTCCCGAGCCGTTGTTTTGAGGCTCCCGAGGCCCGGCGAGGGCCCCCCGGGGCCGAAGTGGCCAAACGCCTCCCGTCCGGATTTTTTTTATACGACGCCACCATGTCTGGAAGTACGGTAGAGGGAAACAATTACTGAACACTCCCCCTCCCCCCCTAAACTCAATGTTGGCACGCGCGGGGGAGACTGCGGTCGAAGTGCACCTCATCAGACCCACCGCCAACTTTGAACATTGGGGGGAGGGGGGGGCGTTGACGGATGAATGTGGCATGTGTTCGCTAATTTGTTCCGAGGCCTGTATGTCTTCGCGCGCCCCATGAGATGCCACCGAAGGCTCAAGTACGAGCTCCGCGCCCCCGAGCCGGCTCCCGGCCAGACGCGGCGCAGCCTCGCGCGCGCTCGCCGCGGGCCGCCCCTCGGGGCGCTGCTCGCGGCCGCGGCGGCGCTCGCGGGCGGCGCGCAGGTTTCGGGGCAACGTCGGGAGGGGGCCTGGCATCGCTCGGACGCGTGCGTTGTTTTCTCGGCGAGGGCTCTGGAGGAGCATCCTGGATCATCGAGCAGACAAAGAACACGCACGAGACCGAAAAAAAGGCACATGGAATGGGCGTCCGAGCGAAGGCAAGGGGGGGGGCCCCAGGGGCAGAGATCCAACGTATTGAAGAGATCAGGACGGAAGTGTTCCCCAACTTTCGGCCTCCCGGGGGCCCTCGCCAGGCCCAGGGACCGTGAGAAGACGGCTCGGGACGCAGAGCTGGTCCTGGTGAACAGGTCGAGTCTTCTGGGGACCGCGCATGGAACAAAAAATCACGGGATCGGATCTCTGGTGGGGCAACGATGGGGGGGAGTAGGCAGACATAGGGGAACGAAGACTGACATGAACAAGAAAACTCGGGGGTCCGCGCGGATTTCTCGGATCCGCGCTGGGGCCCTCTGGCGACGCCTCCGGCGCCGTCCCTGGCGCGCGGAGCGCGCCAGGGAGGGGGGTCCAGCGCCGATCCGAGAAATCCGCGCGGACCTCCGAGTTTCTATGCTTATGCCATTCTTCCTTTTCTTATACAGACAGTGGAGACCCATGCCAAGAAACACCCTTCTTGCCTCCAGGGCGCGCCGGGTTTCTTGAATTTCGATTGGTTTTTGATGTGGAGAGCGTGACGTTCCCATACCCGACATCAATGGACGTCCTGGGATCTCAGGGTTGCGTGTCGTGTGGAAGGTTTCCTGTAGAATGGCCTCCACTGTAGGCAGTGTGGGGGGGCGTATCGACCGCCAATCTTCTGATGCTCCAACCTACTCTGTAGCCTTGATCACCAGAAAGAGTTTCGAGCACCAAGGTCATACCGAAGCTGGAGGGCTTTCCCGTGTCTGGCTCTGGGGGGGGCGAGATTCGCTCGACACCTTGCCAGCTTGTCGGACAGACCTTATTTCGATACTTTTCTGGGTGCTCGAAATTATTTGTGCGATGTGGTCCCTAAGTGCGATGGGAACAACATAACCCCAAACGCCCATTGATCGCCGATAGGGGCCCGATAGCCCTAACGTACCCAGGAGCGTGCGGATGCTCTATCGGGGCCCTATCGCCGACCTATCGGCGATGTATCGCCGATTCCAGGTCGATGTGACCCCTCCCCCTGTGCAAGTCCCCCCCCTATCGCTGCCCCTCGGATGCGTAGGCTCAGGGGGGGAAGGCAGGCTCGAGGCTTTTAAGGCTTTCGGAAGCTTAAGTTTTCGCCAGTTCTCGGCGGTCCTCCGGCCTCGTGATGCTCTCCAGCAGCTGCGCCTCGACGTGGGCGTTCGGGGCGTGCCTGGATCGTCCCGGACGGTCGCCAGAGGCCTGATATCCCACCCCGCCCAGGCTCATGCGGATTTGCCACCGGGGGCCTGTCGCCGATCTACCGGCGCAGTATCGCCGATCCCATGCCGATGACTTCCCCTCGGCCCAGTCCCCTCCCGAAGGCTTCCCCTCTGCAGGGGTAGCGTGTAAAGCGTCCGCCTCACGAAGCTGTGGCCCGCGCTTCCGCCGCCGCCGCCGCCGTCGCCCTGGAGGGCCCGCCGGCACCCTCTGCGCCTGTGTTGTGGCTGATGGGCTTGTTTTCCACCGCCACCACAAGTTGGAGGGGGAGAAGGTCCTCCTCTTCCTCCTCCTCCTCCTCCTCCTCCTCCTCCTCCTCCTCGTCCTCCACCTCCTTCCCCCTCCAACTTATGGTGGTGGTGGTGGTGGTGGAAAACAGGCCCATCAGTGGCATCCCCCATCCAGTGTACCGGCCACGCGCAGAGGGGGGCAGGGGGAGGGGGGAAGGCCTCTCAGAAGCACTCATGCCTCTCAGAAGGCGCGGGCCCTGTCTTTAGTTGTAGGGCCGGCGCCTTCCAAGAAGCAGCCTCCTTCTGTGAAGCCCTTCCCCCCTCCCCCTGACCCCCTCGTGCGCGCCGCCAAGTGTAACTCGCTTGGCTTCTCGCCGCTCGCCGCGGCGCGACTGCCCCAGCCGTGATGGGCAGCGCCGAGGGCCCCATCTGGTGCTCCTCCCCCTCTGCCGGTGCTGGAGGCCATCCGAGTGGCCATGTCGGGAGAGCGGCAACCGAGGAAAGTCGTCGCCCCGTGCGGGCCCGGCCCTGGCATCGCGAGACTCGCGGGTGGCTCCGCCGCTCTGCAACGCCCAGGATCCTGGAGCAGGAGTGCGAGAGGAGGAGGCGGAGGAGGAGGAGGAGGAGGACAAGTGCAGGAGAAGCATGGGGAGGACGGGACGCAGCAGGATGATGCTCGAGGCGTGGGGTCAAAGCTGGCCCGAGGTCAGGAGTCCATCTCATCGAAGTCGCCGAGGTGTTCCATCCTTCGACCTCCCTTTTGCTCCCCCCATCAAGGGGGAGTAAGAGAAGTAAGGTCAGCAGTAGTAGTAGTAGTAGTAGTAGTAGTAGTAGTAGTAGTAGTAGTAGTAGTAGTAGTAGTAGTAGTAGTAGTAGTAGTAGTAGTAGTAGTAGTAGTAGTAGTAGTAGTAGTAGTAGTAGTAGTAGTAGTAGTAGTAGTAGTAGTAGTAGTAGTAGTAGTAGTAGTAGTAGTAGTAGTAGTAGTAGTAGTAGTAGTAGTAGTAGTAGTAGTAGTAGTAAGTAGTAGTAGTAGTAGTAGTAGTAGTAGTAGTAGTAGTAGTAGTAGTAGTAGTAGTAGTAGTAGTAGTAGTAGTAGTAGTAGTAGTAGTAGTAGTAGTAGTAGTAGTAGTAGTAGTAGTAGTAGT